GGGAGCGAGGTCGAATTGGACAAGCCGATTTCAAGAACGTATATCGTTGCAAAAATATTTTTCATCTCTTTTGACTTTTTAATAGCTTTTATCCTTTTGCACACGAATACCATATTTTCACGATCCAAAAAATAAATTTATTTTACTTTATTTTCAAGTGAACTCTGAACCTGAACCGAACCTAATATCCGCACCAGATTCTTGAATTTTCAGAACTGGAGCACGTAATTTGTCTGTAGGTGGTATTATTGGCCTTTTATCTTTTTCTAGAAAATTCCTCAGTTGTAAATAATGATTATATTCCAATATTACCAACAGAATTGAGTACAACAGTATTTCAATGGACTGTTCATGCTTCAAAAATAGGGATTCATGTTTTGTAAACTTTTTTTAATATATATTCGGTGGTTTACTAGAGACATTTTGCACTTTTTCAGAGGTATATTTCAGACATTTTTCCAGCAATGAAGTTAAAAAAAAAATCTATTATTTGTTTTAATCGTTAGATCAAGATTTAACCTGCTCCCCTCCCCTCCCTCTCCCTCTCCCCTTCCCCACCCAGGGCGAGGACAACGCGCACATGTTGACATAATTGGCCCCGCTCCACTACACAACATTTCAAGTGCATTTGGATCTGGCGGTGGTCCAAATACATCCATTTTTGCTGGATCGGTCTGAAAACATATGGATCAGAAGGTAGTCCAGATACATTAACAATGATGTGTAGCGGAGCACGACGCCCAGAGCTCCAAATTATTCCCAACCTAACTACAGAAGTATGCCGCCTCGGCTGCTACCGTTCGATGCTATGTCTTTTTCCAATTATTAAAAACAAAAAACAAGGAGAAAAATCCTGTCCTACAACATGAACGTATATAGACGGATAAGAGAACAAGGGGGGCCTCGTCAAGCTTTCCCGCCAGAACAGACATGTAGGAGGACAAATCTTGGGGGGGGAAATAAAAATAAAAATAAAAAATAAAAGAGGAAAAAAAAAAAAAAGGATCCGCGGCGGAGGAACGTAAACAACACCCGTTTGCCGAGACCCTACAGTCTTTCCCCGAGCGCAACAGACTCTCAAAATGAATGAATACAACCTATATTTCCGGCCACATACAGTCATGACGAGCGCACGTTGTCGTGTCCGGGCAAAGACGGTAGGCAAGTCGTTACTGCATGCACTGAAATAAAACGGGGGGCGGCGAGGGGGGGGGGGGGGGGCGTGTGTGTGTGTGTGTGTGTGTGGGGGGGGGAGAGAGAGAGAGAGAGAGAGAGAGGGGGGGGGGGGGACGGGGGAGGGGAGGGACGCGCGGGAAAGATGGAGGGGCAGGGGGGGAGGGAGGGGGGGGGAGGGGAGAGGCAAAACAAACGAAAACCAGAGAGAGATTCCTATAGGAACTTTATGAATCAGCTTTGGACGTAATTACACAGTCAGATACATCTGGCAGCAATTGCACCAGGACCTGAATGTATCTGACCGTAATTACGTCCAAAGCTGATCCAAAAGGTCCTCGTGTGAGTAAACCCTAAAAGGCAAGAAATCGATTAACGAATGGCTGGCGAGCGAACAACTTCCGATAGTGAACGAATAATGTTTTCTGGGATAAACCATTTTTTTATTCGGATGAAGTGCGGAAGCATACAAGCGAAATCCGTCGTTTGCAAGTCCATTGCGTTCGAGGGCACATGTGCAAGTCCATTGCGTTCGAGGGCACATTTGCAAGTCCACTGCGTCAAGATGGTAATCAGTACATGGGGACGAGCGATAGAGTGGAACTTAAAGAGGTACCCAGGTGGGGGAATAAGCACCCAACACTACAACAGGGATCTCTCTCTCTCTCTCTCTCTCTCTCTCTCTCTCTCTCTCATCGTTTGCAAGCCTATCAATTCGCCCCTCTCCCCCTGTCCAACCATTTCCGGTTCCCGGCTTGCTTCACCCGAGCTCTCTCGCCACCTCTCTACGATACCCGACAGTCGTCCATGCTCCTCCCTCAACTCTATTTATTTACCCAGTCGTCCATGCTCCTCCCTCAACTCTATTTATTTACCTCTCTCTCTCTCTCTCTCTCTCTCTCTCTCTCTCTCTCTCTCTCTCTCTCTCTCTCTCTCACTAATTTGCAAACCTATCAATTCTCCCCTCCCCTGTCCAGGCATTCCCGGTTTCCGCCTTGCTTTACCCGAACTATCTCCCACCCGTCCACGATACCCGACACTCGTTCCTGCTCCTCTCTCTCTCTCTCTCTCTCTCTCTCTCTCTCTCTTACAGACACACACACACACACACACACAACGCAGGCCGCTCTGTAATCCCATTCCCTTCCCACGCCTGATAGACCTCCCCACTTTCACACTCTATATCGCTTTAACCCCTCCTCCTCTTTAAGCACACACCCGTCCTTAAGCATCACCACGCCTTCCTTCTCCCATCCTACCTCACTCAGTCTTCCCCTCAATCCTACTTCTCACTAGATCTCCCTTCCCCCCCACGAACCTTAACGGAAACCTGTCACCGCGGTCTGCCTTATTGTCTTCCCTGAGGAGAACGCACTGACTCTGTCGTCTACCTTGAATGCGCCCCGCCCCCTCTCCCCCCCATCTTCCCCCCCCCTGCCCCCTCTAGATGTGTATAAGAGACAGGCCCCTACCTTGCCATCATTTTAGGCATTCAAAAATTTATCTATTGTTGTTGTGATTTTATACCACCAGTAGTTGGCCCAGCTATAGGCTGTGGGAAAAAAATAGAGTAGAAACGTTTCTAGTCCGATGAATTTGGGCGCTCCTGTAGTGGCCCGTACATTTCCTAAAATCGTGTGGCTTGAAGTACTTGTGGTTTAAAGGGACAAACACATACACATCCTATCTACCTACCGGCCCCCCCCCGCCCCGGCTCCCTCACCCAGCACGTGTACTTCGGCGGAAGGAGAAGTAAACTCAAAAGGCGCAAGAGGGGGGGGAAAGGGGGGAGGATTTGGGGGTCGGGGCAATCTACCTCGTCATGATGAATAACCAAAGATGAACGAGAGTGAAGTATGGAGCTTCCTTTTTCCCGCCCTTGATTTTTCATATTAGAGTATTTTAGTAATGTCCGTTTTATAGATTTTGCATGAATCTAGACATAATAGAAGCCAAGTTCATTAACTTCAAGCCATCGAATATTCCAGAACTCGTATCCCTTATGGCAGGTAGAAAGACACACTTACAGCAGAGCAAGGACTCGTTGCGGACGTAATGTGAGCGCAGTTTTGCACGAATCTTGCCGCAAAGAGAGCCACGTTCATACTCAGCAAACGAAAAATACCGCCCCAATCTTACCACTATGAAAGATTCGTAATTCGTATTGACTTCAACTGCTACTATTCGTAATGACTATTCAGCACCTCTGAATCCCGCGGACTATTCAGCCCCTCTGAATTTTGCCCATAATTATTTGCCGTGATTGGTCATCGTTAATTACTAATGACTTCAGATTTCTTAATTAGCAAACAAATCACGTTTCCCGCCAAAAACAAATCACGTTTCCCGCCAAAAGTACCTCCCGCCGATTCAGCACTTCACTAATATGAGCAAATCACGTTTCCCGCCAAAAGTAACTCCCGCCGATTCAGCACTCGACTAATATGAGTAAATCACGTTTCCCGCCAAAAGTAACTGATGATTGATCATTAACTACAGAGTTCGAACTTGTTAAACAGCAAAAAAAAAAAAAAAACACGTTTCCCGCCAAATAATCACGCTCACAAACCCCTTTAAAAGGAGAGAGGAAGAGAACAAGCCCCAGAGAAAGACCGCCTCCTCGAAACAGAACACTTCTATTCCCAATCAGGAAAAGACCGCAAGCACTCTATCCTTCCTAAAGACTACCGTAAAAGGTAATTCCCCCCCCCCAAAAAAAAAATCTGGCCCGCAACTCTCTAGCCCAGAACTCCGGAAAAAAAAAAAAAAAATCATGAACAGTTTCCAAATCCTTACCTGATTATAAWTATACAGCACTAATAATTCATAAGCGTCAAGGAATCACAAGAAAGGCCAATGGAAGAGCCTCAACTTTAAACCCCAACATTGCTTGCACCCTCCACTGAAACTTCGTTATTGATGACAGAGTCCACACTGTCCACACAAGAAACCCATCAGGGAGAGAAAGGATAGGGGTAGCAAGGGTAGGAGGAGGGATAGGGGTAGTAGGAGAGGTACCAGGAGATGTCCGAGGAGGGGTAGGAGGAGCGGTAGGACGAGTAGGATTACTTCACTGATACTTGGTACGAGGGGTAGGAGGGGTAGAGTGGTAGGAGGGGTAGGAGGGGTAGAAGGGGTAGAAGGGGTAGGAGGAGTAGGAGGAGAGATAGAAGTACTTCACTGAAACTTGGTAAGAGGGGTAGGAGGGGTAGTAGAAGGGGTGTTAGGAGGGGTAGCACGAGGCGTAGGATTATTTCACTGATACTTGGTACGAGGAGGGATAGCAGGGGAAGGAGGGGTAGGAGGGGTAGGAGGGGTAGGAGGTGAAGGAGGGGTAGGAGGAGAGAGAGAAGTACTTCACTGAAACTTGGTAAGAGGGGTAGGAGGGGTAGGAGGGGTAGTAGAAGGGGTGTTAGGAGGGGTAGCACGAGGCGTAGGATTATTTCACTGATACTTGGTACGAGGAGGGGTAGGAGGGGTAGGAGGGGAAGGAGGGGTAGGAGGGGTAGGAGGGGAAATAGAAGTACTTCACTGAAACTTGGTAAGAGGAGTAGGAGGGGTAGTAGAAGGGGTGTTGGGAAGGGTAGCACGAGCCGTAGGAGGGGTGGGAGGAGAGGTAGGAGGAGGGGTAGGAGGAGGGGTAAGAGGAGGGGTAGGAGGAGGGGTACGTACTGCACTGAACTTGGTCATTCTAATGGAGAGCAGTGTACAGAAAAGAAACCCAAAAAAAAAGAAAGACAAAAAAACAAAAGCAGCCCATCAAAGAGAGAAAGGAGGGGTAGAAAGGGTGGGAGCGGAAAACTGGCCAGCGAAAAAGGGGCTTGCTCTACCGTTCCTTCCTTGCCAGCAAACAAGCAGCTGCCAAAAACACGACTTACGCTATGCACTGAGACAAGGAACAATGTACTTGACCGCAATTACCGCCAAGATACACGGCAAGAACGCACAGACTATGACAAGCTGGTAATCACTGAGCGAAAAATATATATACTACTAGTAAACGTGAATACATATATACTGATCAATTGTATGACCGATAGCATAATTATCAGAAATTCCAATTTAAAAAAAAAAAAAACAGACCGATGCCATACTCAGACTAGGGACTTTATCAACTTATATCTGTGGACGTAATTGCGGCCAAGGTGCATCCCGCCTGGCCGCAAAAGCGGTCACATACATGCTCGCTAATAGTCGTGTGGGTATTATACCCTCACACTAGGGGAGTAAACCACTGAATTCGCCCGTCACGTACAGTCAGACTGATGACATAGTCAAATACATTTATCATCGATTTTTATCTTCAATAAAAATCCAAAAAAAAAACTCTAAAGGACAAAAATACCAATAAAATCGCTGGTGCCAGTCCGTACTTTCACTTCAATCAAAAAAAAAAAAAAAAAAAAAGAGAGAGAAGCAGGGAGTTGAAGAACGCCGGAACTGTTATAACTCGAATCATGAAGCGCATGAGCCTACCGGTAGTGTTAATTAATCTCTCATCGACTCTATCGATGTCTAGAGACTGAAAACTCGAATAGAACGCCCGGTCCTTATCGATGTATATAGACGGAAAATTTACCAAATACAGACATAATGACTGGGCGTTCTATTCGGGTGCAGACGGGTCACCACCACATTTACCCAAATAGAACTCATGGGCACTAAACCTTCATCTCTTCCGCCCGCCACATTACAGCACAGCTTACCCGAATAGAACGCATGGGAAAGACACAGTTTACCCGAATAGAGCGCATGGGAAAGACACAGTTTACCCCCAATAAAGCGCATGGGAAAGACACAGTTTACCCCCAATAAAGCGCACAGCCACATAGTGTTTGTTGCACATCGAAGTCGCCCGCATTGCAGCGCACGGTGCCTCTGTTCAATTGCTTAATTCGTTAATAGTTCGATCAATGGAATAGCAGGTCGATTGGCTGATTGATTGGCTGATTGATTAGATGATTGATTAGATGATTGGATGATACTTTACGAGGTTACAAGCTGATTGATTGCAAAATTGAACGATTGATTACCTCTCTCCTTCTGTCGCCGTTTTCCCTGTCGTCTCTGAAATTCGATGACGGAGATCTCTCTCGCGCACCTCCATCGCCATCGCCGCTGTGCGGCGGCGACCTCGACCGGGGTCCCGGTGAGTCATTCTCCCCACTCCCCCGTCCATCTTCATCCTCTCCTCTCGCCATCTCTCTAAATCCCGTCATGCACTCTCTCTCTCTCTCTCTCTCTCTCTCTCTCTCTCTCTCTCTCTCTCTCTCTCTCTCTCTCTNCTCTCTCTCTCTCTCTCTCTCTCTCTCTCTCTCTCTCTCTCTCTCTCTCTCTCTCTCTCTCTCTCTCTCTCTCTCTGTGTGTGTGTGCGTGTGTGACAAACCACGTCGTCCCCTGCCGCACGCACTACCGACAACGCTTGCAACCAATGGCGGCAGAGGCCGCTGCTGTCGCCGTCAAAGAGTGCTTCAACACCATACACCTACCGCTTCCCTACCCTTCCTTGTCGTTGATTGGTGCTAACTTCTAAGCCGTCCGTTTAGAACCGTTTAGTTCCGTTTAGAACCGTTTAGTTCCGTTTAGAACCGTTTAGATGCGCCGGAAGAGCGCCGTTTTCAACCGCGACGCGCCGACCGACCGACCGACCGACCGCATGACTTGACTGTTATACCACCGGAAGATCGATCAACGGTCAGCTTCATGAGCGATGGCGATGGTGAACACTCGTCGCTCATCTCTTCGGGAACTCCGCAAGATGATCCTGCCGCTCTCCTCCGCTTCCCTCCACTTTCCACTGCTCATCACCCCTCCCCGCCTTCTGACCCTTGCACTGGGCCCCGTCAAAGAGCGGCTCCCTGTTCCAATCAGTGTTGTCATCGGTAAGTCACAATCACAGGGTTCGTATGCGCAGCCGTACGGGCTGCAGAAGTGTAAGGTGAACACACAGCCTGTAAGACTGCCTAAGTGACCAATGAACAAGCCCGTGAGTAATGTAATGAGCATAAACGAGCCCGTAACAAGGCTGCGTAAGTTTGTCGGTTTGCGTCGTTGTCTCCCTTGGTCGCTGGGAGCGGACCGGTCTGCGGCAGAAAGTTTTCGGTCCAGAGAGGGGAGAGGGAGGACGGGGCTAGAGCGGTCAGCGGAAGGTATGCTCGGGCGAACCGGTGGGCGCCGTCCGGATTGGTAGATATAGAATTGAATGGGCACGAATGATAAAAGCAGACGACCGGTCGGCAGGGCGCGAAGGTCCGTAGATAGATGGGAAAGAGGGTTCTCAATCCAAAGGGTCTTTTTTTCCGGTTTCCCTCGTCGGCTTAGATGACAACGATCAGCATAGCATGGCCATGGGCTTACAGTGTTTGCAACCCCTGGTCTTTCTTGCATTTATACACCTGAGTCATTTTCAACGATTCAACGGCCTTTGGAAAAGGCCCAATGTGGTCTTTTGAAAGGGTGGCAGGGCGTTTTAGGGGGCGGGGCGGGGCAGTTGCTGAAGGCGAAGGACCAGCAGCTGTGCGTGGTCCCAGAAAATTTTGAAACAGCGAGGGGCCCAAGTCGAGACGGTGTGGGCAGCCCAGGCCTAGCGTCCTTAGGGGGGCCCTTCTTTGACAATTGTTGGGTTTTTTGCTACAGTACGTTGGATTTGGTGAAGCAAGTCGCAGTATGGATCTTGACAGATGGACGTGTCGTACGGCATTTCTCGGGTGAGAAGAAATGGGCTCGAGACATGGTCTTTTGAATGGTGATTCGGGTTGTTATTTAATGAGTGCATTACGGGTGTTATCAATTGAAGGTGGCCTGGTTCGAACTGGTAACTTGTGGATGTTTTGTAGTTATAGTTGGTGTTGAGGAATTTAACTTGGTTTTTCTGTTGGGCACGGCTGCGGGGGACGGGCTACCGGTTATGGCCTATAGCATCATGATTTCACGGGTTTCAAACGTCGGATTTAGCAGGAGATAGTTGCAGTATGAATTTTGACGAATGTATGTGAATTTCGGTGAGAAGAGGCGGGCTCGAACTGTGGTCTGTTGAATTGCGTTTCGGGTTGTTAAGTTAGTGTGAACATGACCTGGTTCGAACTAGTGACTTGTGGTAGTATTAGTTGATTTTTGGGAAAATTTACCTGGTTTTTGTGTTGGGCGCGGCTGCGTGGAAGGTCTACCGGTTAGGACAATTGATGAACCCTTATTCCAATAGTATATAAGTTTCATAGTCATTGTGTTCGTCAGCCGACTTGTCATAGACCCTTGATGAGCCTAGTGGGTGGCTAGGCCAAACCGGTCGGGTCATACACCATGCGGGAGTGTTTTATTTCCGCTATGTTGTGCCTTCACGATGATTTTTTATCTAAGTCGCGTTCGAGGACACCTCTCTTTCTTTGTGCCTTTTCTTATTTCTCTTTTCTGCTCTCTCCTTTTTCTCCTCTTCCTTCTCTCTTCTCTTATGTGTGGGTGCATAAGAATTGGAGTTCCTTGCTATCACTGTTTTGCTTATGCGTGATATACATACTTTGTTTAACAAAGGAACCGACATAGGAGTCATACTACAGTTGAGTGACTTCGTATAATATAACGATGGCGTCGAATGTTAATTCCAATGTGCCTTTTGTAGGTAACTACTACAATTGTGGTCAGCTTGGCCACATCTCTTGGTATTGTCCCTTTCCTGATCGGAGACTCAATGGTGGTCAACAGTCTAGCACTGCGATTGTCCCAGGTCAACCCTTATTAACCTATCCTTCTACATCTAATGTCAGTACATATACTCCGTATTACTCGGGTCAGTATAATGGTGGAGGAGGGGGAAGTGGGTTGGGGAGACGTGTTAGTACGTTGGACGAAATCGTTGGACGGATCAACAGCAAACATGAAGCAGATGCGGCGAGAAAGAAAGCCAAGCAGGAAGAAAACGATAGAAGGAAACGGGAACTGGAAGAAGAAGAACGGCTTCAATGGGAAAAAAAGGATCGGGAGGAGTTTCAATTATCCATACGCCAATAATTGTCAACGAAACTGGATGTCGTCCGTGAGGTGGTCAATGAGAAAAAAAACAGTGATGCTGAGGAGATTGCTAAGCTGAGTTGTGCCGAAGAAGGAACCGGCTATGGAAAAGAAGAACGCAGAGAGTGATGAAGTGCGAAAGCTGAAGGCTCGGGCCGATGAGTTGCAAAGGTCTCGAGGTATTGTCAGTACGTCGGCAACTGTCACACAGAACGTTGACGATGCCGAGGAGATAACTCGGTTACGGAAGGAACAGATTGATGCGAAAATGACTATTGATAAACGACTCACAACGTTGGAAAAATGTCATTTTCGCTCTTTAGGAACAGTGTGAGGTTGTCGAACCAAACGCGGAAGCTTGGAAGAATGAAGCATTGCGTCCTGACAACAAGTGTGGTCCGATGACGATTGGTCAGACTCCAGTGACAGAAGTGAGGGTTCGACCTCGGGTTACTCCGATGGCATCACAATGTGCGACGGGACATGTCAATCCTTAGATCAAGGCTATAGCGGAACGTCATCAACAAGAGGTGAAATTGTTGAAAGAGATACATTTACGTGAGGTCAACGCAGTAAAATAATATGAAGAAGAAGTCGAGAGATTAAAATAATCATTGGCGAAGCTTGAAACAGAAAGAAAGCGTGGAGGAACGAATTTGAAATCGAAGTTGGATGAGGTAGCAGGCTTGTCTACGAGGAAGGAGAAGGGGAAGTTGACGGTAACTTCAATTTTCCTCGTTAGTCAACACGAAGCAACATTGAGGGATGAACGAAAGAAGCTTCAGAATCTCAAGAAGGACGATGTGATTGCAATTTGCGAAAAGGATGGGGTGGCCTATACGAAGCTCGAGCATACTAAGGAATTGATTGCACAGGCCCGTGCCAACAAGGCGATTGAAAAAGAGGAGTCGAGCAAAGAAATTGGGAAGACCGATTCAGTGGTTAAAGTGACCAATGATGGGGATGGCGACAACAACAAAGGTGAGGGGCGTGACTCTGCTTCGTCTTAGGGTCATGCCCTGACACGACTAACGTATTGTTGAATATTGTACTGTGTGGGCTGATTCTTCTCGGTGAGATTCCTTGGTGCGGTAAGTTGATTGAATGTTTTTTTGTTTGTGTTTCCTCCTCGCGTGGTCAAGGTATTAACGAATGTAGTGGTCTCATTGTGTATGCATTGGTTTCACCTTAGTTACGTCATATTTATGCTGGAAGCATAAGTCATGATCTTCATTGTAGATGGAGGGAGCATGTTTACAGGATATGTCAGCAGAAGGTTGTGGATGGAGGTAGGAGGAACAAAAAGTTTTATCAGTGGTTGCGGTGTCGAGCGCATCGGTCCCACGCCGCGCATGGCGGGACCCTCCCAGCCACGTCACGCAAGAGGTGGTCTAATCCTCGTCACGATACACATGGCGCTTCCTTAAGCCGCTCCGCCCGAGTGCGCCAACCATACCTCTCGCGAACCCCTACGACAGGATCGGGCCAACGCGAGGCACGACTTACCTTCACCTGCGGGAGCTATCACCTCCCTTCGGTGGGCTTATCCCCACTGAGCTACCAGTCCACAGTATGAAAGCTAATCAATTGCAGTCACAAAGGTGGACCAGCCGAGGGCGTTTCTCGTTCGCTGTAGCATAAGGGTTACGCGCGGTCTTACTCCTCTATCGAACTCGCACGAGATTCAACGCACTGAGGGCTGAAGTCCCAAGCATGATTCGCCATCGGTCGACTAGGATGCACCCCACATACTACGCGTACACTACATCACCCACACTTATAGAACGACACAAAACAAACAATACAACAACATTCCTAGTCCCTTTTGTATCCAACCCATAACTTTCCGACGCGGAAAATCGGATACGCAACGCACGCGAAACTTAATAGAAAACCACGCGGGCGCAAAGTCTTCCCATATCGACTAGCAATGCATGAATACGCATGCAGTCGCAGTGATTGTGTACTATGTAGTGCCCATAATCAACCAGTCCCTTCGTGAATCCGAATGTCGCTTATGACACTCAAGTGTCAGTCTTGAAGTATCGTGAGGGTCGACCAGTCGTTCGGCCCCCGTGACACCTTCGACCCTTAGGCTGAGTGTCCTGGTGGGCAAGGCAGATAGGCTTTGCGTGGGGGGTGATCCCTTCCACGCAGAGTCTTGGACCTGAGATGTCCTGGACAAGGACCTCGAATCCAGGCCCAGGACCAACGTCCGACTACTGAGAAACTTTTAAGAAACAAAATGGTAAAAGAAGGGATTATCCTTTCCTTTCTCAATCTCAACCCCAATATGTGACGATCACTTCTCACAATCACAGTGAGACTCCTCTCAGCCATATATATGTATGTGATCGCAGGCAGTCAATTCCAAAATTCGAATCACAAAACATACATGCAATCACATCAAAGAATCAAGCAAACGTCCACACACTACACGGGGTCAACTTCAACCATTCTCTATATTCAGACCCCTTGCTTTAGTCATGCAAACCCCAACCTTTGTGCAACCTTCCAAAATAAATATTCAATAGCTTTGTTAAATGACCATTAAATAAAAATCCGGGCGAAAAACTTAATAAAACAATAAAAATCATCAGGGTTAAAACCTTTTAGGTTGGTTAATAAGAATGAACTGGAGTTGAGTCGTAGACCGATGAATCGGCAACCGAATTGTTATTAGTGATAACAGAAGATGATCCTATAAGGATCATATGCTGAAACTAGCCTAAAACCTGTAACACAAGACAGACCAATCCCCAAGCTAAATCTATAAGTCCATGGAGAGTAATATTCATATCACGATCTCACTCA